CTTGGATTCTTTTTATTTTTTGTGTATCTATCATAGGTTTTTGGGTTGTGGTTACATTATTATGAGGTTCATATATATAGCAGTCTATTTTAAGTTGCTGGTTGTTTAAGGTCCAATACATTCTAAAAGCCCTCCCAACAACAGGCAGCCTATGTAGGCTGCAGGCACCCTTTTATCGTGACTGGGCTGCAACTGCTGTGGTTGCACTGGTGGATGAGGCTGACTCCAGCCTAGCAGGCTTAGAGGCCAGGCTGCAGCGGCTGTGGGTGTCTAGTAGGTGGGGTCAGCACCTGGTGTGGCTATCTGCAAGGCCTGGCTGCAACTGTTACGGGTGTGCTCATGGGCAGGGCTGACCCCCCAGCTCTCCCAAGGAGTCGCTTTGGAGGGACACCGGTCCTCACTGAGACTGCCTATCAGGTGAGGCAAAGGAGGAGCTGCCTTGGAGGAGTACCTGCCATGACAGGTCGGTCCACAGGGAAACGCCAGGGCAGGGTAAGCAGTGCCAGCAATGTAAATGGAGTGTCAGAACCAGCACCTTCACTGGGCCAGCTAGGCTGAAGGAAGGCAAAAGACATGGTAGCTGCTAGCAGTTCCATTCCTGGAAAAAGTTCCTACAGAACCCTGCCCTTCTGGCACAAGCCCTACAATTAGTAAATAAACCCTCATATATGGCCTAGGTGCTTTTGAAACTGCTTCTAATATGCTGGATCTCAGAGTGAGTGAGACTGGCGATGGGCCTTTTAAGAACAGTTTTGGTTTCCTATGGCCTTCCACCTCTCCTAGAGTTAAGCCCTGCTGATTTTCAAAGCCAGACAAAATGGAGGCTTGTCTTTCCAGTGCAGGGGTGGTGCAGGGAGTGCCCAATGCAGGGCTTGAATCCCTTGCTCCTCAGGAAGGACCTCCACACCTGTTATATGCCTTCTGTTTGTGAGTCACTGGCAAGTCCTTTTCAAACTGTTTGAAAAGTTTGTTTCTGTTTGTTGCTGTTTTTTTTCTGGGTCTCAGGGCAAGCGAGACTGCACATGAGCCCTCTGAGAAGGGTATCTCAGTTTCCTATAGAATTTTCTGGATGTCAAACCCATTGGTTTTGCAAGACAAATACTCTCAGGCTTGTCTCTTCAGTGCAGATTCCAGGTACCAGGGTGCCCAATGTGGGGCACCAACTCCTCCCTCCTTTGGGAGAAGCACTGCCTGGTGAAATTCCCTCTCTATTGAAATGTTGTCACTCAGGGGGTGGGGTTTTTTGTAGAACTGTGTCTCTCTCTGCTTCTCCTACCCATCTTGATGTGGTCCTTATATTCTCTGTTGTGGAGAGCAGTTCCTATAGTTTTCAGATCTTTTGCAGAGGGAAATTATCCATATGTAGCCACAGATTTGGTATGTTTAAGGAAGTGCGTAAGTTCAGGATTTTCCTATGCTGCCATCTTTTCAGATCCTCCAATTAACGATATTTTCTAAAATATTTTCTAAATGGTACTTCTATTTTTTTTTTTTTTAATTTTAAGTAATCTCTACACCCAATGTGGGGCTAGAACTCACAACCCTGAGATCAAGAGTCACATGCTTGGCACACCTGGGTGGCTCAGTCGGTTACAGGTACTAGAATAGTCAAATTCATAAAGTGAGAAAGCAGAATATCCATGGATAGGGGGAGAAGTGACTGAGGGGTTACTGTTTAATGGGTCCAGAGTTTCAGTTTGAGATGATGAAAAAATTCTAGAGATGAATGTGGTGATGGTCACACAACACTGTGAATGTAGTTAATGTTAATAACTTAAAAAATGGTTAAAATGGTAAATCTGATACTACATATACCTTACCACAATAAAAAAAAAAAAGAATACTAGAATATAATGAGGATACCATGCTGAAAAAAACCAAAACAAAACAAAATCAAAACTGAAGACAATAGAATGACAGCCTTAAAGTGCCAGAAAGAAAACAGTCAACCTAGAATTCTATATCCAGTGAAAATATCCTTCAAAAGTGAAGGCAAAATAAAGACATTTCCAGACAAAAGCTGATAGAATCTATCTCCAGCAGATAAGAACCCCTAGTGAAGGAATTACTTAAGGCTGTAGAAGAATGGTATTAGATAGATTATATAGCCAGTTTAAACCCACATACTCAGACTTCAAACCTTCAATCCTTACCACTATATCTCAGTATCTTTCTTGAGACTGAGGAAGTAAAAAAAAAAAGTAAAATGACAAATGGTCCTTCTCTAACAGTATTGTAATATGGTTTCTGAGGATCATACTTAATTTATGTTAATGGATTTAGGTAGTATATCTGGTCTATACACATACCTAATTATATATCCCAGAACATACTCACTTTGAAGGCAAACATTCCAAATTGTATTCTTTGTTATTTACCTATATGATTCAAAACTACATTATTGTATTATATTATTTTTTGTTCAGGAACAGGGGTTGGGGATGGAAAAAAAATTTTTTTTCTTTACTTCTATATTAGTTTTTGGATCATATTCTTTGTAATTTAAATTTATGAATTTTAAAGTTTTAAAATTTAAAGTTCATAAATTTAAAAATTTTTAAGTTTAATATTATATCCTGCCCCCTTTCAAAAAGAGCTTTAAATCTCGCTTCTTAGGAAAACATTTTATTTCTGCTCATTTCACAATTTTTTAAAAGAGGATGGAAAAAAGATTTAAAATTAAATGGCAAACTCTATGCCTGCATTCTCTGACAAGATAATTCACAACCATTTTAGAGAGTTTTTGCTATTGATCTTGAGTTTTATTTATTTTTTATTTCAAAACTTGAGAATAATTATAGTTATCTCATTATAACTTCTTAAATGGCACAGCAAAGGCACAAACCTAACAATCTTTGAGCACTAAAATCTTGGCACTTGGTATATTTATGATTTTGAAACATTCATGAAATTAGAATCTGTGATAAAAGCATATGCATTAGAAGAAGCCTCATATTGGGAACATACTGTCAATATGTAGATTTTCTGCTTTTGGATGTTTTGGGGTTTAAAAATTACAACAAACATAGGAATGTTTCCTTTATATAACACTCCTAATTATCTTCTTATTCTTTTCCTGGGAGTAATATTACATAAAAACTTCATAAATTAATAAAAGTAAAATAACCTAAACTTGTTCATCAGCATTTACTGAGTAGTATAAACAAAGTGACTCAGAGAAAGAGTTTACTACTCTTCTTAAACATTCAAATCATCAAACAACTTCTCAATTTCTTCAGGTACCGCTGTTGTCATCTTTGATTTCAGACTAAGCCAAAGACAATGCTAAATGCACCTGCATGGGGTCCTCTAATTCTGTTGTAGGAAAGCATCCCTGAAGAAATTACTAAGCATTTACTATTTATCACAGTGAAAGGACAAAGGGTGCATTTCCTATTCCTCCTTTCCTTCTTTTGCCTATCTTCCTCCTTCTGTCTGTGTCCCACAGTCTATATCTTTCTGTCTCTCTTCCTGTCCATTTTACCTGGAAATTTTTCTAAACTCACGCACTCCTTTCTAAGATTCCAGTACCCCCATCATCATCTCAAACTAGTATTAGTGTCAGTAGCTTCTTCCCATTCCAGTTTATTCTTCTGTTGTCGCTGTATTAATCTCTCCTCAAACTTGTCTGTGATCAGTCTCTTGCTTCAAAACCTCTTAACTCATCATTGCCTAGAGATTAAAATTGCAACTTCTTGGCATGGCATATAGGATCTTTTATATCACAACTCCAACTTTTCTTGGAAACCCAGTCTTTTCTGCTAGTACTCTATCTCCTTTCTTCACTTCTCATCTTCATATTATATCCAATAATAATAGTTAACATTTATTGATAGCTTACTATGTGCCGAGTACTTTTTCCATAAATGATTTTTATTTACAAAGTTAAGTGCCAGGCACTTTTTAAAGCATTTAACATATAATAACTTGGGACACCTGGCTGGCTCAGTTGGTAGAATGTGCAATTCTTGATCTCAGAATCGTGAAATGAAGAGCCCACTTTAAAATTAAATAAAGCAAAATGCTTTTTTTAAAAAACCCCGGGGCGCCTGGGTGGCTCAGATGGTTAAGCATCTGCCATCAGCTCAGGTCGTGATCCCAGGGTCCTGGGATCGAGCCCCGCATCAGGCTCCCTGCTTGGGGGGGAGCCTGCTTCTCCCTCTCCTTCTACTGCTCCCCCTGCTTGTGCTTTCTCGTGCTGTCAAAAAATAAATAAAATCTTTAAAAAATAAAAATAAATAAATAAAAATTGAAAACCCAATAACTCATTTAATCTTCGTAACTACCCTCTGAGATAGGTGTTATCATTATCCCCATTTTACTGTTTATTGACAGAAAGTAGATCAGTGGTTGCTTAGGGTTGGCAGGGATGGATAAAGCAGGATATAACTGCTAAATGGCACGGAGTTTCTTTATGGAGTGATGGAAATTTTTGGAAACAGATAGTGGCGATGGCTGCACAACTTTGTAAATATACTGAAAACCAGTGAATTGTACATGCTAAATTGGTAAATTATTAAATTTATTCACTTACTATTATATATTATTTATTTATTTAAATAGCTCAGCAGAGGAGACAGGCAGACCTTGAAGCAGAATATTTCCTATTTGTTGCTTTGACACAATAGCTGAATTTTTTTTTTTTTTTTAAGATTTTATTTATTTATTTGCGAGAGAGAGAATGAGAGACAGAGAGCACGAGAGGGAGGAGGGTCAGAGGGAGAAGCAGGGAGCCCGATGCGGGACTCGATCCCGGGACCCCAGGATCATGACCTGAGCCGAAGGCAGTCGCTCAACCAACTGAGCCACCCAGGCGCCCCACAATAGCTGAATTCTTTGAAACATCTTATCTCATAGGCACATACTATCAATGCCAAATGATTTGGGCAAGAAATTTTGGTACAAAGTTAAGCCAGAAATCAATGTAATCCTTTGAGATAACAGAGACAACTGGAAAAATGAAAGCACATGCAGCAAGAGGATCCTCAGCTAACACTCGCCTCTTCCACAGGAGACCGGTACTTGCAGTTACTGCAGATGCTCCCAGGAAAGCCACCATCATTAGTCGTCGCCTCATCTGGGTGGGCTGTGATCCTCCATGGTAACATCGAGAGCCCACAGCCAGTTCTGCCAGTGCAGAAAGGGAGTTAAGACGAAACATTCTGTGGATAAAAAGTAAAAATGTTACTCCTAACTAGTTGTAGCAAAAATGATGATGAAATGATGATGATGACAGTATCAACGTCACCAACAAACATTACGGACTTACTCAACGGCAGACACTAAACACTTTGCAATACCATATAGTATCCAATTTAATCCTCAGAACAACTGTATGAAAAAAATACTACTTATAAACCTGATATATCAAAGTACAATTAGAAGACAAAAAACACAACATGATAACTTGAACAGGAAAAGTTTAAGTAAAGCATTATTAATTATAACAGGGGTAAAATACTAAGGGTTAAAGAGATAACAGATGCAGGGAGCAGCTACTATTTCAAAGGCTGATGCAGAACAATAGGAGAGGAATAAATATGTAACGGGGCCACTCTCAACAGGGCTGAGATACAGGCCCGTGGTGAGGACACGGCCATGGATATCTGAGAAATTTACTAAAGTGCCAGGCCATCAGAAGTCACTATAAAGTCATCTAGTAGGAGAATTCAACATTCCAGTGGAACTCAGGAAAGTATCCATGGGGAGATGTCGGAGTATGGAACTCCCTGGGAAACTGCATTTGGGAGTACTGCTGCTAAAACTACCTACGGGTTGAGAGTCCCAGGGTGTCCCACACACTGCTGGCCACTGTGTGCTACAGTGCATACAAGAATCAGGAAGACAAACTTCTTCCTTCTTTAGTCTCCCTCTAGCCCTTCTACTGACAAACCTTAACAAAAGGTGGCAAGAGAGAAATTTCCAGTATCACAAAAAGGACATTGAAGGAGGAATTTAGAATTGCAAAGCAACAGATTTATAAGTGGCACAAACCATTTTGAAGATGTGGGAACTGAGACACAGTGACTTGCTCTAGAGTATGCAGCTAGAAGTAGATCCAGAATCTAAAATAAATGGACTAACATGAGAACCCAGGTTCTGGACAGGTTCTAGGACACTTTGCTGCCCCCCCTACCTTGTGATGATACTGTTTTTGTTAAAGTAATTTAAGTTTTAATTAAGTAATTTAAGTTTTAATTAAATCTTTTTCATTCCCAGGTCCTTGGAAGGCCTCCTACCCACTAAATTCTTTAGTTTCATACTTATAACTTCACCTGTTCCTCTCATTGTTTAACTCAGAAATATCTGTATTAGGTCATACTATCGTTCAAAAAACATTCACTCTCCCATCCCCCATCCCATAGGCAAATACAATTTTCCACACTCTTTATTTTGGATATGTATCTTGCCATTGACCTTGCTTTGACCAACAGAATGTGGGCCAGTTCCACAAAGCACTTTTAAGAAGTATTGCTGTTAGCCTTCTTGTGCTCCTACACTCTATGAAGAGAAGATCATGTCCAGGATAGACATGATCCTTCAACCTGGGTTCAATAACGAACATATCTCAGGCTGGAGCCAGGCACTGTGAAGATCAGCTGAGCCAGCTGAGCACAACCAACCTACAGAATGCTAGTGAGAAATAAATGTTTATGATTATAAGCCACTAAAATCGGGGGTTGTTTACTGCCACAGCAAAAGCTAACTAATTCAGCATATAAGAGAATTACTGGGAAGTTCTCATTCAACAAAAATGTTTTGTTTTGTTTTTAAATATTTTATTTATTTATTTGACAAAGAGAGAGACAGCTAGAGAGGGAACACAAGCGAGGGGAGTGGGAGAGGGAGAAGCAGGCTTCCCACTGAGCAGGGAGCCCGATGCAGGGCTCGATCATGACCTGAGCCGAAGGCAGACGCTTAACGACTGAGCCACCCAGGCGCCCCTCAACAAAAATGTTCTAAGTTCATACTATTCAGCCCTATGTAAGACCTAAAAAGCCAAAAAGAATTTTACATTCTAATTAGCCAAGATATACATGAAACATTTTCAAATGATACGTTTCTAAGCTGGTATCCTGAAGAAGTATAAAAATATTAGGGTATAGATATTAGAGAATTAAAAAAATGTTTAAACACCAGGGTAAGACTAGGTCAGCAAAGGCTTTTGTTTAGTTCTGAGACTCAGAATGGTATAAAATTTTGATCAACTCAAAGAAATTTCATGGACACCCCAAATGACAGGATCAGTTCTGGCACCTCTATAAAGAGAATTGATAGAAAATGATTTTTTCCTCTAGCCAGTATCTTGAGGCCAGAGTATAGTCTTCATTCTTTTATTCCAGCAGGCAGACTGAATGAGAAAGGGGCATTTCCTCCTGGTTATACGACTTTTTATAGTGGCAATTCATTCAAATCACATAAAGTATTCATTTTCCTCCCCTTTGATTGTCTCCAAGCACAGTTCACTGCTTCCTAATTTAAATTATCTTGGACTTTATACATATCTTCCATGGCAATTAATACATTTGTTCATATGTAAGTCTGCCTTCCCCACTTGGCCTTGCCAAAATTATTTTTTTCCTCATCATAAACATATGGTCTAGTATGGGGCCTGTTACATTACAGGTGTTTAAAACATTTAACTACATAATGTACTTTCACATGAAAGTAAAGGTACAAATCACACAGGTACTAGCTCCTAACATTTAAATATACTTCTAAGACCCAATATACTAAGAAAAGTATGTCTTTTCCCACTTGGGTTCAAATCAAGTTAGATTACTTAGCTGTCTCTTAAGATCATGGAGCCAGTTACTAACTCTTCTCTGGGACCTATACCTATAATCTCTTAAGTAAACCTTTGCCCTAGCCCTCTTCATTCAACCTAGGCCCAATTTCAAAGTTGGAGCTAAATCCTGCTCTTATGGACAAAGTGGGAAAATAATTATTTTTCTCTCCTGCTTCCTATGACCTAAGCTGCAGCAACACAATTCTTATACCCTTCTCCAGCCCCAGAAATCACTCATTTGGAAATTAGGTAGCTGTAGAGTTTTAATGGTTAATACTTTTATTTATTTATTTATTTAAAGAGTTCATTTATTTGACAGAGAGAGACACAGCAAGAGAGGGAACACAAGCAGAAGGCAGAGGGAGAGGAAGAAGCAGACTCCCCGCTGAGCAGGGAGCCCGATGTGGGGCTCCATCCCAGGATCCCGGGATCATGATGTGAGCCGAAGGCAGACGCTTAACCACTGAGCCACCCAGGTGCCCCTAATACTTTTTTTAAAAAATATTTTATTTATTTGACAGAGAGAGAGGGAGAGAGCACAAGCAGGGGGAGCAGCAGGCAGAGGGAGAGGGAGAAGCAGGCTTCCTGCTGAGCAGGGAGTCAGACACGGGGCTCGATCCCAGTACCCTGGGATCATGACCTGAGCTGAAGGCAGATCCTTAACCGACTGAGCCACCCAGGCACCACAATAAATACTTTTAATATACCTCAGAGCCATTAGAAAAATACAGGATGGAAAAATTCAGCTATCAATACGGAAAGTTTAAGCATTGCTACAAAAGAAATTAGTGTTGGGGCGCCTGGGTGGCTCAGTCGTTAAGCGTCTGCCTTCAGCTCAGGTCATGATCCTAGAGTCCTGGGATCGCGCACTGCATCAGGCTCCCTGCTCCGCGGGAAGCCTGCTTCTCCCTCTCCTACTCCCTCTGCTTGTGTTCCCTCTCTCGCTGTGTCTCTCTCTGTCAAATAAACAAAATCTTTAAAAAAAAAAAAGAAAGAAATTAGTGTCAATGAAGTATTAACTTGTATAAAGCAAAGGTGAGGAGGGTGTGTAAAAGTGAAGAAGATATGGAACAGTATAGAAAAAGCATTGTGAAAAAACTTTTTAAAAAAATTTATTTATTTGACAAAGAGAGAGAGCACAAGCAGGGGGAGAAGCAGGCTCCCCACAGAGCAAGGAGCCCGATCTGAAACTCAATCCCAGGACCCTAGGATCACGACCTGAGCTGAAGGCAGATGCTTAATCAACTGAGCCACCCAGACATCCTGTGAAAAACCATTTTTTACTCTCCACCTCCCCCAAACTCTTAGGTTTATGTTAATTTGTCCAAAACAAAGACACATTTCAATTTTAAGCCCAATCTAAGCTTCACACATTTTACAGTTACTTTGCTTTATTTTATAGCAATACCAGCAGTCAAAATCTTAACATATAACATAAAACTTCATTTAAAATGTTTCTGTTTGGGGTGTCTGGGTGGCTCAGATGGTTGAGCATCTGCCTTTGGCTCCGGTCATGATCCCAGGGTCCTGGGATTGAGCCCCACATCCGGCTCCTGGCTCAGTGGGGAGCCTGCTTCTCCCTCTGCCTCTCCCCCTGCTCGTGTTCTCTCTCTCTATCTCTGTGTCTCGAATGAATAAATAAAATCTTTAAAAAAAAATAAAAATGTTTCTGTTTAAACAATTCTTATTATAAGGTTAATCCAGTAAGATGATATTAATTAATATTTGATTATTCACTTGGGACTCTGTAAGCCTAAACCCCCACAGAACGTAAACCTTAATCTTTATCATCAAACCAAAGTATAAAGTGTTAGATTAACTTCTGCTATGATGTATATATGATTTAAAGACAACGGGGCATCTGAAGACAATGGCAGATGCTTACGTCCCAGTCTCACAATATTTTCTCCACAAACAATATAGAACAATAACAAGGAAAAAAAATAGCTATATGAAAACCATGTCCTCTGCCTAACTTGAAGACAGTCTAAACTTAAAAATACACTAAGTAAAAAAAGAAAAAGAACCAAATCTTGGTGTGTGATCTCATGTGCCTCCCCCATCCCTTTCCTGCCTCAAGGCTTTGTGGTGAAAAAAGTAGACTGAGAATACATGTCAGGAATAATGAAGAAGGGAAACTAGGAATAGGGCCTAAGGTTGATCTGAAAACACAATGGGTGATCTAAGTCCACACTAAATCTAAAAATGTTTTTTTAATCATTTTATTTTTATCATTGTAGGTGTACTCTTCATTCCCATCCTCTATTTCCCCCATACCCCCACCCACCACTCCTCTGGTAACCATCAGTTTGTTCCCTATAGTTAAGAGTCTGTTTTTTTAGTTTCTCTTTTTCCGTTGCTTCTTTATTTCTT